GATCATCTAAGGGTAATTTGGCTTCTCGTCCATAAGTCAACAGAAAAGGTGACATTTTTGTAGATGCCTGTTGAGCTGTACGATAAGCAAATAATACAGGAGCTATATGTACGTCCCACTCAGTTTGTTCTTGAATGAGTTTGGCTAATGATTCCTTTAAAGTCTTATTGAAACGTTCTACTTGTCCATTTGTTTGTGGATGATAAGGAGTAGAATTATGATGTTTGATTCCGAATTTTTCCATCAATTCTTTGATCATCGCATTGTTAAAATGAGTACCACGATCTGTGAGAATTTTCATGGGGCAACCATGTCTACATATGATATCCTCATAGATAAATTGAGCAACTTGACTAGCAGTTGCTTCCTTTACAGCTTTTGCTTCAGGCCATTTAGTGAACATATCAACGGCTACAATAATGTATCGATTCCCTTGTGGTGTTATTGGTAATGGTCCAACGAAATCTATTCCTATCTGATAGAAAGGACTATGGGGTGGGATAGGATGTAATTCATTGTTTTTACTTGGTCCTCCTCTGCGTTGGCAAGAATCACAAGCTTTAACATATGCTTTAATATCTTCATACATTTGTGGCCAATAATATCGTGTCCTAAGTTTGTTGAACATTATCTCAATTCCAAAATGTCCAGCTGTAGGATCGTTATGCATCATATATAGAATTGGTTCTAATTCATACCGTTTGAGAACTTGTAAAAGGTGTCCAGCTCGTCTCCTATCATATCGGTATAAATTTGAATTTTGAATTGTAAAGTATTTGGTCATGTTGACGAACTTTTTCTTTTCCTGATTTGATTGGACATAATCAGGGTATTTGTTGTGATTTAAATATTGTTGTATTTCGAAAAATTGTTGTATATCCATATTGAATAATTGAGCTGCAAGTCACAATGCTTACACTTTCGCTTACACTCAATTATATTATTTGGACGTTGAGACTTTCACTCACTAGGTGCTATTCAACTAGGTGTTACCTCTTTAAAAATGATAAAATAAATAGAAATAAATAATCCTGATATTTTGCTAATTTAATAATACTATACTAATAATCTGGATAAAGATAAATGTTTAATAACTAGGGGTGCTAGCTCTACTATGAACTTCATCAAAAGTTGAAGCATAAATAGGGGTGATAATAGGTGCAAATGATCCAAACATTTCGTCAAGTTCTTCTTCTGTCCAATCGCGTGTTTGAGGATTTTTGGTTGGTTTTAGTAGTTCAACTGCTGCTAAACAAGCATCGTCATTTCGCTGTACTTCTTCTGGTATATTCCAGAATATTTCGTTGCATAAAGTTTCTGGAATCATTTCAGGATGTATTTGTCCTAAATTGTATCCAATAATACATTCATGTTCCAATTCCGTAGTAATAATTGTTCCACAAAGTGTACAATTAACAGAGTATTCCTGAGCAAATTCCTCTAATCGGGTTCCATTCATGCGTTTAATAGTGGTTTGCCTGAATTCAGCAGCATTAAGAAAAATATTATGTAAATCTTGTCTCCAATCTTGACCTCTTCCGTCAAGAATATACTCAGATTCTTCATCACTGAAATTAAAATCTGATTCATTACTGTCTTCCAATTGTTCTAGTTGTTGTTCAACTTCTTCATCGTCACCATCAGATGTCATATTTAAATATTCATAATTTTCACGTTCGTTGCAATGGCAAATAGTATGCTTTGTAGGTGCAGATATATAATTTCCATATGGGTTGGCGCATTGGAAACAATTGGTACAATACCAATGAGAATGGTGGTCATTTTCCTCACAGGCATAAGTATTCTTCCGATATTTTCGATTATTATATAATCCATTCCATTGCCATTTTGTTTGACATCCAGGAACGTTCAAGGCAGAGAAATGTACTTGTATCCATCTGTTATCTTCTTCCTCAATTTCTTCTGTTAGGGCCATATTTACTGGGACCATTCTTGAGAAAGTATCAGCGTTTTGATTTTTAACACCTGGTCGATGTTTAATTGTGAAATCATAGGCTTGAAGAAATAGAGCCCATCTTGCAACTCGTCCTTTTACATGCTTCGTAGTTAATAACCAGTTTAGAGCAGAGTGATCAGTGACTACTTCAAAAGGTTGATAACATAAATAATGATCAAAATGTTCAATAGACCATCGAACTGCAAGACATTCTTTTTCAGTTGTAGTATATTTTAATTCCAAGCTAGATAATTTTCGACTAGCATAAGCGATTGGATGTTCTAATCCTTGTTCATCTTTTTGAGTAAGAACAACTCCTAATCCTTCATCAGATGCGTCAGTTTGTAAAATAAATTTGTTTTTCAGATTTGGTTGTGCAAGCACTGGAGCAGTAATCATTTTTCCTTTTAATATATCAAATGAACCTTGATGTTGAGATGTCCATGACCATTCAGTATTTTTCTTAGTAAGGTCATGTAGAGGTCCAGCAATCTTTGCGAAGTTTTGAATGAAACGTCGATAGTAGGAGAAGAGTCCTAATGCCATGCGTACTTCTTTTGGATTCTTTGGGATTGGCAGATCAATCATGGCTTGAATCTTTTTCTGATCAGGTTTGATTCCGTTACTTCCTACAATATGTCCTAAGTAACTAACTTCATTGACAGCAAAGGTGCATTTACTTGGCTTAATTTTTAATCCAGCTTCCTTAAGTCTATTAAAAACTTGTTGAACATGTTGACAATGATCCTCAAATGAAGTGGAGTAGATAATAATATCATCCAGATAAACAGCACAGAACTTTCCAATTAATCGATGTAATACTCGATTCATTAGACGTTGAAAGGTTGCAGGTGCATTCTTTAATCCGAAGGGCATCACTTTGAATTCATAAAGACCTGATGGTGTTATAAAGGCAGTCTTTGATTGATCTTCTGGATGCATTTTTACTTGCCAGTATCCACTAGCTAAGTCAAGAGCAGTAAAATACTTTGCAGTCCTAAAGTTTTCTAATTGGTCTTGCATATTTGGAATTGGATAACTGTCAGTAATAGTGATTGCATTCAAAGGTCGATAATCAACACAAATTCTTAGATCTCCTGTTTTCTTTGGTACGATTACTACTGGAGAAGCCCAGGGACTTTCAGATGTTTGGATAATCCCTGTTTCTAACATTTTATCAATCTCTTTTTCTAAGAAATCTTTTCTTTCTTGATTTAACCTATATGGTGGGTGAGCAATAGGTCTAACTCCAAGTTTGAGAGGTATTTGATGATTTACATATGGGGTTTGTCCAATATCAGTTCCTCCCGTTGAGATAATTTCTTTTGGGATAAGAGCTTTGACAGTGACTTGTTCTATCATTTCATCTTCTTCAACATTAGCTATATAAAGGTTTATAAATTCTTCTTCACTATAGGGCCATTCAATACATTCTAGTTCATCCTTATCGATTTCTGAATCAGAATGGATTTCATTTTCATTCTCTAGTTGGAAGAGATCCGTTTCAAAGAGAGCTTCATCCTCATATTCTTCCTCTTCACTTTCAGCTGTGTTGGCTAGTATTCTAAAATATGGTTTTGCTTCTTCAATACATTTTATTGGTGATTTTACTAACTGGTTCTGAATTTTTGCACGTAATTCATCTTGATCGAAGTACATCCTAGCATCGAAGGTTTTGAACCAGTTGATTCCTAATAACAAAGTATCTTGAGGTGATTCAATTACTTGTAGATCAACAGTGAATTGAACTCCTTGTAAAATTAAAGGAACCGAAGTAATAATTCCTAATGATCTTTTTCTTTGTCCATCAGCAGTTACTACCAAGATATCAGATGACTTATTTGGTTTAATCTTCAATTTATTGGCCAAGGTTGTTGAGATAATACAGGCAGCAGCTCCTGAGTCCAAAATTACTTCAATAGGATTTAATTTGTATCGCATAATACATCTGGCGGCAGTGTATTTATTATTATCATTAACATGAGTCTGTGCGATATTGATTCCAATTTCTTTTTCTACTTTGTTAATTTGATCTTTCAATTCTTGTAGATACTGAGGATTTCGTAATAGTTGTCCAAAAGTTACATTAGCATCGTGTCTTCCTAAATCTTGAACGATATTATAAGGTTGTTCATAATGTGGAACAAATCTAGCTTGAGGGGCAAGCTTAGGAGATCGAGGGGGAGTTCGTATTCTTTGTTCTCCTCTTGACTCAGTTCTAGGAAAAATTCTAGTTGTAGTATATACTTCTTCATCTTGTTCTGTTTGCTCTGTTTCAGTTAAATTAACATTACGTTGTTGTGGTCTACCAGATGGACGGTATGGTGTACGATTTTGGTTTTGATGTTGGTTTTGATTTTGGAATCTTGGTTGAGCTTTTACAGGTGTTTCTGATTGACATTCCCTAGCAAAATGTCCTTCCTCTCCACATCTCCAGCATTCATTAGTTCGGTGAGTTTGAAAGCTTATATTTCGTTGGTTTTGCTGGTTTTGTTGATTCCACCTAGGACGTGGATTGGATTGGACTTGGGTGTTTACCAAATTTGCAGTTAATTGCGCGACCTGTTGCTGTAGAATTTCCAATTGATTAACCATTACTTGTTGCTGTTGGACTGGTTGAGCAATGGTAAATCCAGTTTCGATTTCTTTAGCTTTAGTGATAGCTGCATCTAATGTTTGAGGACTATGACCGACTACCATGGTCATTAGATGGGGTGACAATCCTCTAATAAATTTACTAATAATATAATGTTGTCCAAATCCTCCAGTGGTATCAACTCGTTGCATTAACATTTTGAACTTCTGGGCATAATCAGATACACTTTGTCCAGGGTTTTGTTTAATCATTTCCAACTCAGACATCCATCTATTTTTCATGGTAGCGTTGGCAAAATAGTTTAAGAATCTGGTTACAAAACTATTAGGATTTCCTTGTGTATTCCATCCCTGATAGTAGCCTTGATTTTCATCATACCACTTGGCTGCGGCATCTCTTAGGTATCCAGCTGCAATAGCGATTTTTCTATTATCATTCCATTGGTTTGCAGTAGCGGCTCGATTGAATGAAGCAATCCATTCAAAGGGGTCTTCATCATCAAGTCCATGAAAATAGTTTGGCTTTACCAGACTAAGCTCCGCACGATTAACTTGTACCTGACCAGCATTATTATTATTTATAGCCATCGTTTGTAAAGCATAGGTAATTTGTTGTAATGCATGAGCTAACTGTGCATTTTGATTTCCACCTTGAGCAGGTTGATTAACTTGAGGAATTTGTTGGTGTTGAGGTGTTTGAGTTTGTTGTGTTTGTCCAAATCCCATTCCTGTTGTTCCAAAACCTGTTCCAATATTACTACTTACAGTGGTAGTGGCAGTATTAAACCCTGTTGTATTAGAAGTATTAGGTAGACTACTCCATTGAACATTTGCTGTTGTTGTAGCGACTGGTTGTTGGGATAAGTTATTACTTCCTGATGCAATAATAGGGATGCTTGTAGTATTTCCTTCAGGTTGACCACCAAAGTGAGACATCGTAAAGTTAGAAGTTGTATTATTTTTAGCTAATTTAGTATAATAAGTAACTGGTTGTTTCCCTTTAGTTATTGGGGTACTAGTTGCGACTTGTGAAAGTGTGGAAGATTTAGTTCCTATAGTTCCAATTGCAGTTTTATTGAATAAATTAGAAGATGGTGACTCTTGAAATCCTCCTCGTCCTATGGTTGGTGAAATAGTATTCCAACTAGGTAAATCGCTTTCAGGAGAATTTTCGTTTTGAAGTCCCAAAACTATTCGAGAGGCTTCTTCTGCTTGTTCTAAAGTTAAAGCTGAAGGTTGGGCTGATGATCCTTGAGAATAATTAGTTGGCACGTATTCCGATTCAGAATAAAAATCAGTAACGTTTAATGGTGGATATTCTGCTTCGTCTTGTGCAATAGTGTAATCTGAAAGGGTTCGTCTTTGCTCCACGTTTGGTGAAAATCCTTCGTTTGCTTCTGTGTATGTGGTAGTCTCTTCGTCTGAATCCAAAGTTTCAGTAGTTTCAGGAATTGTGTCTAAATTAGCCTGAGTAATTGTTTCTTCGTCTGAACTTTCTTCACTAATAGGATCGGGCTGAATGGTTGGGGAAGAAGAAGTTGATTGAATTGGTTGATTTTTGCTTGAGCTACCTGATGCAATGACTTTTTGAGCACGAGCAATAGAACTTTTAGTAGTAGACCGATATGATCTTTTTTTGTATGGTATAGAGGGGTCTTGATTGTAATTTCTTCCTGATCGAAGAGTTCTAGTTTTTGCAGGATTCAAGGAAGACGAGGTGTTTTCTTCAGAAGGATCCACGTTGAATTCTTGATTAAATATATAGTCGTTGGCTGTAACAGTTGTATTTGACCACTCAGCGAAAGGTATACTTCCTTTTTCTACACAATTTGTTTTTACTAATAAGACTATTAATTCAGCAATTGGGGGTAAGCTAGCAACTTTCTTATATCTAAAACTTCTGATTA